TTATTCTATAAGTATACTTAGTTCACATTTGTCTTCCCTCTAGAGCTTTGACCCTTACACCTCTGGACTACAGGGAGGATTACATACGCTCAGAAAATCAGAACTTAATATATACAAAGGTTAAGAAATGTTCACTTGTTAAAATAGCCTCCACTTCTTCCTTTGGTCACATGTTTATTCTAAAAATTATAGCAGAGTTCAAACTATTCACCAAACTAATTTTTTTAAATGTGATAACAAGGTTTTATTTGTTCATTTCTTGCATTTGAAGGACTCTTTGATGACATACTGGGACTGAGATTCTTTGCCATAGTCCTTAACTACTGCACAACCGCAACCAACTTCTTTGAGGGTATTCCCTCTCTGTCAATTTTACAGAGCCCTACTCACTTCCTAGCTGCTTGTTGTCAGCAACCTTAATTAGGTTGATCTGGTGTTAGCACAAAGGGCCGCCATCAACTTGGCATACAAAGGCTCATCACAGATGGATGCAAGCACACAAACATGAGCTTGGCACTTGTCTAAAGCTTGGCCAGCTTCACAAATTCCACTAATAGGCTACTGTGCATGAGGGTGGTCTTCAGAACCTCTTATAAAGCAGTAGCAGTGTTAACATCCATTACATCTCCAGCAACAACGCCCTCTTCTACCACAGCCGTGGGTTCCGGTGAAGCCAGATCTTGAACACACCCAAGCCTTTCTTCCACAAGACTTGGTGGAAGGCAAAGAGCCATCAAAATAATGTGCGTCTTCACTTTATAATTTACAAATTATTACTATAATTAACTGAAAATTCTGACCTGAAAATCTGGTATTATACAAGCAATTTTTCCTCACAATCTCATTCATTATCCCTAGCCCTCATTATTAGATATATTATATACTGTCTACTTTATAGAACAATTACTGATATTTTATGACTGTGTAAAGCAAGATTTTTTCCTGTGACTTTCTAAAATTCCAAGACTTATTCTACACACGTCTTTTAGAAACTAAATTCATACTGGTTTTTCTAGACTCATAATCTATTGATAAACCATGAATTATAATATTGCTTTCTAAGCATTCATCCTTTCAAGCCTAATAGCCTTTATACTAAAAAGCAAATTAACACAGGCAATATAATTGTAGCTTGCAATATTCGGATAACTAAAACTTGGAAGAAAAAATCAATTTCCTTAGAAGTAAAGCAAATTCAGTTACTCATTTCATACATTTCTATGGTCAATGGGCTTAGAAATAAAATCATTAGACACGAAAATATACCTTCTGGTATTAAATTGGAATTAAAGGTACCAGTAAAGATAGAGAGACCAATGAATGATAAAGACATATGGGCAGAGGTATGGAAGTGTATGTGTTTGTAAGCATTTTCCAGCTTAATTCGCTAAGAAGGCTCAGAAGCAATATTACCCCAGTAGAAATGAGCACACATCTACCCAGATCTTGATGCTCAAACACTATTCCTCTCTTAAAAAAAAAAAAAGTTTGCCTTGATAAGTAGCTGATTCCAAGATTGGGGTAGGGAAGGTTCAAAATGAGCTTGGAATATCTTTTATTACAGAAGTTCACAGAAAATGAAGGAGACATGTCAAAATGACATAGCATTGCAAACTAATCCATAATGACAAACCTGATCTATGATTGCATAGGACTAGGGCAGAAAAAGAAATGGAATGCAAAAAGCATGAGCAATATTTTTGGGGTAATGGAAATATTCTATACATGTTTTCATGGGTTTATACATCTATCAAACTTATCAGATTATATATTTTAAAGGGACACAGTTTACTGTATATAAATTATATGTCCAATAAAGTCGATTTTTTTTTTTTTAAAGTCACGGAAGTTAGCCTGAAGGAACTCCCACTAGCCAAATCATACAGTTAACCAAGTAAGTAATACTAGTAATAGACTGATATCTAATGAATAAAACAGAATCTTTTGGTGACTCCACACTGATAGATAAACTGGAGAAACGGAAGTTTTTCTTTAAAGTAAAATATCAAGTAATACACATGAAAAGGATGATGGTGTTAGAAAAATCACCATTTTTGGCAACCATTATAGTAACAACTATTTGGGTAAACTTTACCCATGATGCTAAAACTGTGAGTGAAAGTCTGATGAGGAACAGCATATTTACATAGTCTCAAATTATCTCTTCATAAAACACTTTATTAACACTATAAGGAGAAAAACAGTAAATGTTACAGTGGCAGCACAGCTGTAACTAAGTTTATGATAAAATTTTAATCAAATTTAACATCCCCAATAAAAAAAGACATGGACACTATGTGCCTCCAAATATTACATAAGACATCATCACTCCATAGTCCTGCTAATAAAATATAACCTGAATCTAATCATGAGAAATCAGAGGGGGGAAAAAAAAACCCAAACTGGGCCCATTCCACAAAATAATCAGCCTAAACTCTTCAAAAATGTCAACGTAAAGAAAACAACACACACACACACACACACACACACACACACACACACAAGGAGATTATTACAGATTTAAGAAACATGGGAAGTAAATTTCATGTATAATCCTCTTCAGGACTGGGAGAAAAAAACAGCTATAAAGTACACATAATGGAATAATAAAAAATATGTGTATGGAGACTGCAGAATAAACAATATTATCAGTATTAAATGTCTTGATTTTCATAACTGTACTGTAGTTACATAAGAAACTAACTTTGTTCTTGAGAAAAGCACATTGAAACACTAAAAAAAAAAGATAAAATACAGATATTTAGATAAAGACAAAGTGAGTGATGAATTAGCAAATGCAGTGAAATGTTAAAAACTCATAAATCTGGATAAAGGTCTGCTCTATTTTTATAATTTTTCTCCAAGTTAAAAAAAAAGTTTCAAAATAAATCACTGCACTAGAGTTGGAAGGATGGACCCAGAGGTGAGTACTGTAATAGTATGGAAATGTACAGAGGAATGGGATCCAAAAGCCCAAATTCTTAGAAGTTCTGGTTCTAAGAAAGATAAGTATATAAAATAATATGTAAATAATGACTCAGTCTTAGGTTTCTCTACTGTAAAATGAGGACGTTGTACCAGAACTTTCTAGCTCTATATCTAGATTTTTATGAACTTGTTCTATCACTTCATGCTCTTTTTTACCACAGTAAAAGCCTGGCTCTTCTGCAGGCTCAATACTTTCTTAAGAGACAGTGGGGAAAAAGCTGCACAAATCATTAATGTACAAACAAACCATAATTATGGATGAGGACAAAAGTGTCAGGAAGCTTAGTAAAGTCTAAAGTGGTAGAATGAGAAACACAGAACATTAACTTTAGTAATAATCTTAAAAATGATTTCTAGAAGTCTTTTATCAATTATGTTTAATAAAATCATGTATTAAATTTTAAAATATTAACTACCTTTTTTCTCTAAAATTCATTTTCTAGGCCAGATGTGGTAGTTCACATTTATAATCCCAGCACTTTGGGAGGCTGAAGTGGGGGAACTACTTGAAGCTAAGAGTTTGAAACCTGCTAGTGAGACCCCATCTTTAAAAAAAATTTTTTTAATTAGCTGTGCATGGTGATACATGCCTGTAGTACCAGCTACTCAAAAGGCTGAGAGGAAAGAATCACTTGAGCCCTAGAGGTTAAGGCTGTAGTGAACTATGATCATGTCACAGCACACTGGCCTCGGCAACAAAGAGAGACACTGCCTGTTAAAAAAAAAAAAAAAAAATTGTACAACACTGTATAGATAGACCACTAGCCAGACTAATAAAAAAGAGAAGAATCAAAAAAACACAATAAAAAATGATAAACGGGAAATCACCACTGATCCCACGGAAATACAAACTATCATCAGAGACTACTATAAATACCTCTGTGCAAATAAACTAGAAAATCTAGAAGAAATGCATTAATTCCTGGACACATACACCTTCCCAAGACTAAGCCAGGCAGAAGTTGAATCCCTAAGTAGACTAATAGTAAGATCTGAAATTGAGGCAGTAATTAATAACCTACCAACCAAAAAATGCCCAGAACCAGACAGATTCACAGCCGAATTCTACCAGAGATATGAAGAGGAGCTGGTACCATTCCTTTTGAAACTATTCCAAACCAAAGAAAAAGAGGGTCTCCGCCCTAACTCATTTTATGAGGCCAGCATCATCCTGACATCAAAACCTGGCAGAGACACAACAAAAAAAAATTTCAGGTCAATGTCCTTGATGAACATCGATGCGAAAATCCTCAATAAAATATCAGCAAACCAAATCCAGCAGCATATCAAAAAGCTTTTCCACCATGATCAAGTCAGCTTCATTCCTGGGATGCAAGGCTATGTTCAGCATACACAAATCAATAAATGTAATCTATGACACAAACAGAACTAATGACAAAAACCACGATTATCTCAATAAATGCAGAAAAGGCATTTGATAAAATTCAACATGCCTTCACGCTATAAACACTCAATAAACTAGGTACTGATGGAACGTGTCTCAAAATAATAGGAGTTATTTATGATAAACCCACAGCAAATAGCATAGGCAAAAGCTGGAAGCATTCCCTTTGAAAACTGGCATAGGACAAGGATGCCCTCTCTCACTACTCCTATTCAACATAGTGTTTTCTATATTCAATGCAGAAAACAACAAAAGTAAGATCGTTTCTTCAAACATTTCTGAAGTATTAAACAGGCCATTTGCAAACCGGGCAGACCAAAAACACATATATCTTTACTAGGAAGAAATCAGATAACCTAAGATGAATCATTTTTAAATGAGCGTACTAAAGATTTACTTAAGGTTAAAGCAGAAATCAGAGAAAGAAAAATATTATTTGACTAGATATTTAGTTTAGTTTAGTCTCCCCAATATAATTTACTTTTTTAAAGTAGATTAAAGCTGAATGAAAGTTCAAAAGAACAGAGTTTCAAAAAAATACAAAATAAAACACTAGATGATATATAAAGTTTATTTAAATCAATTAAAATTTTGAAAAATAGTCTACCTGAATCGTCCTGGGCTTCATGACTTTCACCATCATCTGTTACCTCTAATTCTTTCACAAAATTTGAGGGAAACAATCCCAACTTGTTGTTCAGGGTTCCACTCCACCAGCCTTCTTCTACCTGAAAAAGTTCACAATTCAAAAGTAATAAAAACCTCTGTTAATTGAAAGTCTTCACTCTATGGGACAATTAACTTACAAAAGCAAATGAGCACAAAATTAGCACTGTGAAATAAACCATTTAAAATTTAAAACACAATGAAGAAAATATATTTTAAGTGTATTACATTTTAGTGGATTATTCGTACATGGAATTAATCATATATCAACAGCACTTTGCAACATTTACAATGAGAATTTACAATCAAGCACAATCTATGAAGTACTTTTCATGCAAATATCAGATAACCAAATATACTTTATTAACAGCATGAAGTGCATAGCTTCTTCAGGAATGTCACTTTTGTAAACACTGCTGAGTCTTAATTTGTATATTATTTAAAGTATCTGGAAATTTTTGATTTGAAAAAAAATTAACGACCTTATAAGAATGTAACTTCCTGGTCAGGCATAGTGGCTCAGGTCTGCAATCTGAGCACCTTGAGAGGCCAAGGTGGGCAAACTGCTTGACCAGGAGTTTAAAAGCAGCCTGGGCAACATGGTAAAATCCTTTCTCTTAGAAAAAATATGAAAATTAGCTGGGAAAGGTGGTTCCCGCCTATAATCCCAGCTACTGAAGAAGGTGAGCCTGATTGTGCCACTGGACTCCAGCGTGGGTTCAAACAGAGGAGACCCTATCTCAAAAAAAAAAAAAGGAAAAAGAAAAGAAATATAACTTCCCAAATGGAACAGAAAATTGCTAAACCTACTACTTAAACAATGATTCTTAAGTATAATAATTCCCTACTTTTAAAAACCCAGATGTCAATCAAATACTTTAGAAAAACATTTATACTTACTAATATGATTGCTCAATTTCCATGAATTTATTTAATCTTTAATAACTATAAAAATGTATAGTTTCTGATAAGGATATTCAGGAG